ACAGTATTTGTTAATGTTACTAAATTAAAATTGAACCAATCAGGTTAAAAACATTAGAACAACTTGTGAATTTGAAACATTTGTATAATTTTGGGTAATCTCACCTTTAATTATAATCATCAATTTTAAGTTGTTAACAGCTATGTTTTCCTTTCTGCCATACCATGAGCATTCAGCCAGTTCCTTGTAAAGACTTTATTGAATGCGTTTCGGACATATTTCACTTTTTTTTGTCCTCCTACTTTTAAAATATAATTTTGCTAAAATAAAAATATTGTAAGTTAGTACTAAATCATCTTAGTTATTTATATTATTGTGAATACAATGTAAGTATACCAATTCTATCACACAGACATCCTCTTTTAAAAGGTCCTCACAACAATCGATTGTTCTTGTGTGTTTAAAGGAAACAATCCTTTGAACATGTTGTTACTGTTTAAAAATTTTGCTGAAGTCTTATCAGCGTTTTCAACTGTTCCAGCCAGCTTAACGTTCATCGAAGCATTTCCTTCATTAAATAATCAAATTTGATATTAATATTAGGCCTCTACCACTATTCACTACATTTTTTTAGTGAAACAACTTGCATCAGTTCGTGTGCTACGTTCACAAACTTGCTTAATTAAATTATGGAACTGATGTGACTGTGGAATCATGAGAAGAGGGCTCAAATTATCTCCCACATTCGAAGGCGTATCACATAAGGGTGCTACGCCGCTAGTGTAACACCTTGGAGAGTCGATTCGATAAATGCTTCATGAGAAATATCTAAAATATTTTTGTTATTTGTCTATTAATATATTAGTATATCATCATGATATGTAGGTTATTTTACATACTATCTTCAACATTTAGGTCTAAAATTTTGGGTTTTTTTAAGCCGACATTCTTTCCCCAAAGCTTCTTCTTCTGACGAGGGCTATCTTTAGCGTAAGCCCTCGCTTTGAAATAAGAACCTAAGCAAATCAATTGACTTTAAACTGAAACTATATTGTTTTTTGGCTTTAACATGTACACTTACTGAAATATCGCACCAATGAAACATCTACCGCCTTCCAAGATTCTTCATCCGGCTTTGAACTTTTGACTATCAATGAAGAATTTAATATTGGCGGCCACCAGAATTTCGTTATTTTACCATTTTTGTCCTTGATCAACCAACAACAGGTACTTCAGACCAGTTATTCTTCTTAAAAATTATAACAGCGTGCGTATACATTCTGAACACTATAAAGCATTCTCTATAAAGCCATTTATAAATAGGTTACATAAACATTCAAAATCTTCTAAATAAATCAGAATAATCACGTTTGATGAGATGTTACTAACTACTAATAAGACATGAAAAAATAACTGCATTTACCTATTAAGTAAGATGATGTTTAAGATCATTTATTTTACGATTGCACAAACGAGAAAACTAATTGAAACAAAACGAAGCCACGCCAACAAACGACGTAGATACAAAAGATTCTAGGCGAAGATGGAAGATGAATGCGGCCTTGTCAGGCTGACAAAGCTGGATAAGAAATATAGAGAATGTATAGAGACTTATTCTGTGGAGTTTTATAGAGCTGTCAATAACCATTAATATGAAACAATTTTTTAAAGTATTTTTTAATAAAATAGTAGAAAATGGATCGTAGGAAATTGAATAATCGCAAACCATTAAGGGATTTATTCAAACGAAGGATTCGACAAATAATTTCGCAAAGAAATCAAGAATACAGAACATATTGCAATCAAGAAGTGAGCGAAGAAAATATTGCACATACTGCAGGTGTAAATAGCAAGGTTATTGTAGAAATAGTATGGAGATTGCTGACATTGTCAACATGTCTTCAACGTCGTATAATAATGATTTAGCATCATCAAATATAAATGGCAATTTGCAACAATCGGTCAGCAAAACATTGATGCCGCTAAGTCAACAACCCTTCAGGATGATTTGCGTAATTGGGTAAACGATCTAAACATTACCTTCCTCGTAAGCATCATGGACTTGATGCTTTCTTTCCATGCGATGTACGAGCATTAATGGAACACCTAGATATGCTACTGGAAGCATTCAGGTAGTTAATGGGGTGTTCATATGTACATTTTAGCGTTGAAAGCTCTATTATTAGAGCAATGACAAAAATGTACCAAAATTAAATTACATTTAAATTGTGATGGTACGTCGATATCGCAAAGCTCTAGTAGTACGTTTTGGTCAACCCAGTTAATGATTGAGGAAAATGACAGCAAGACGTCTTCAGCCAGAACATCATTTAGCTATATTATGCTTCGTCCCCACTGCACGAATCTATGTGGCGAATCCTGTTCGCGACGCTCGCATGCGTTGGCTCTTGTGCGCGACGCACACTGCGAGCAATTTGACATTTGACGTTTAAGTAGATGTTTTTAAGTTGGTGATTGCGAGTACAGTTTGCTGTTGTTATTTTTTATATAAGTGTTAGTGAAAATTTGTTGAGCTATTAAAGCATAGTTAATGAAAGTAAAGGTGGATGTTATTAATAACGATAAATAATTTATTAACATGTATTCATATTGTATTTAAATTTCAGCTTAGAAGAAACTGATCGGTTTATGTTCAAGCGTTTGATTTTGAGTCTCGAAATAAACACTTTATTTCCAGGCATTTATTTACAATGTGTGACCGCAGGCCAGACTCGAATATCATTTTGATGGCATATTGGCTCCTGAACGAAGATTCTACAAAGTCTTCTGCAACAAAACGCCGTTATTGGATGGCGCCTTTATTTAGAACCCCAAATTATGTACTTAGGCCACTAATTTTCAATGAAAACACTGGTCATTTCCGAAATTTTATGAGAATGCCAGTAGAAGATTTTCAAATACTTATTGATATGGTAGGACCCAAAATTGGAAAAAAGATACGTCATTTCGATACTGCATATCAGTCAAGGAGCAATTGGCTGTTACTTTAAGATTTTTGGCTACTGGGGATAGTTACGCAAGCTTACAGTGTTTGTTTCATATATCAAAACAATCGATTTCAAAAATTATTCCTCGCGTTTGTGATGCTTTGATATCATCGTTGAAACAATACATAAAAGTAAGAATGATTATATATGGGCATATAATCCTCACACACACACACACACACACATATATATATATATATATGTATATATACATATATATATATATATATATATATATATACTAGCTGACCCGGCGAACTTTGTTCCGCCATAATGGCAATAAATAAGCTTTTTTTTTTAATGGAAAAAATAAAAATAGAAATAAAATAGCAACATTAATCATTCATAATGATTTATTCATTTTAGTGCCTCTTCATTGAAGTACCTTCTTATACACAACATTTTTTGTTTTGTTATCAGGCGCAAAAACAAACAACGCAGATGGTTTTCCGACCCGTGAACATGCCACATATAGTTGACCATGGGAAAAACATGAATGTTCCAAATTCAAACCACAAACTTTTAAGGATTGCCCTTGTGATTTGTTGATGGTCATGGCAAATGCGAGACGTATTGGAAATTGAATTCTTTTGAATTCAAACGGCAGATCGGTTGGGATCATCGGTATTCTCGGAATGAGAACTTCCTCACCTTTAAATTTTCCTATCATTATGGTAGCGTAAATTACATTGTTCATCAATTTTGTAACCACCAACGCGTACCGTTGCACAGTTTTGGTTGGTTTATGTTCCTAAGCATTATTACTACGGAGCCAACCTTTAGGAGTAAATTGTGCGGTGGTAAGCCAGGCACGTCCAAAGAATTTAAAAATTCAATTGGATAGTTGGTGGCTTCATCTTCATTTGTGACGCAATCAATAGATTTGAATGAAAGCATTGTTCCAATTATTTTATTTTGAATTATGTGGTTTAGGTCATCTACATCTTTATTCTTTGCTGCTAAAATTGCCCGCTCACTCAACCATTCATTATTTTTGCTATTAGAAACAATTTCTGGAAATACATTGTTGATAAGTTCGTCTTTTGATGAGACAAAATTACAAAAATTGTTTGGAAATGATATTAATCCGCTCGATTCATCGACAGGTACTTGACCATTACCGATACTCAGCAATTGCTTCGAGAAAACTTCAGCAGATGTATCATTAAGCAATGTAACTCTCATGTTTGTTGTCAGTTGCAGTTTCTTCACATAGCGCCATAGATTTGACGATTTGAGGCAAGCGTTTATTTCGTCGGCAGCTGTAGATCTTGGAATTACTGGCAGTATTTGGCGGAAATCGCCAGACAGTAAAATCATTGCTCCTCCGAAACATCTTGAGTCATTGCGTAAATCTTTTAATGTTCGGTTAAGTGCTTCTAATGCACGTTTATGCGCCATTGTGCATTCGTCCCAGATGATGATTTTCGATACCGCTAAAACTTTGGCCATTGCTGAGTGTTTTGCAATATTACACGTTGGTTCTTCAATAGTTTGAAGATTTAACGGTAATTTGAATGCAGAATGAGCCGTACGGCATCCTTCTAACAATGTGGCTGCTATTCCAGAAGAAGCAACTGCAACCGCTATGTTTGATCTCGCCCGAACACTTGCTAAAACTAATGACATGAGGAATGTCTTGCCAGTTCCACCAGGAGCATCTAGAAAATATAAACCACCATTTTCATCATCGATTGCCTTCATTAAAGTATCATAAACTTCCTTTTGTTGGCAATTCAACAGGGGAACATTTGTTTGAACTACTAAATCTAATTCCTGGTGGTCATATTCACGTTCCCGTTCCAATTCTCGATTAAATGTGTCATTCATTTCACGACATGGTGCTGGCATGCCTAACCTGATTAATAAATTACCGCACATGAGGTAACAGATATCTTCGATCAAGAGTAAAGCACGATTGTGTACTTCCTCATTCATCTCAATATCGAAATTTCTAGAACTAACACGAATTTGATGTAAAATATCTTCTGACATATTTCCTTGTATTTGTGCCACAGGTTACATGGATTTGATGGAAAACATGTCGAAATAATTATAGCGAATAATGTGCGTATCTGGCTTGGAGATGCAGAGATAATGGTTTCAGCGATTGTCGTATCCCAATGACTATCGTTTTCTAATAATTTCAATTCCTCACATGCAGCACGATATGTTGGAAATATTACATGATTAACAGTTCGTAGTGACTCAAATGATGTTGGCCCACGCACATTTACCAGCAACAGCCGCAAATAAAAACATTCAATATTCTTTGGATGAACTGTATACATTCGACCAAGAGCTTCAGTAGAACGCACATCTGGATACCCAGGAACCGCATTGCCTTTCTTCCGTCTTTGAAAATTCTTCGATAAAGCATTCCAAGTATAATAACGTGGCATCTCCGAGTAAAGCAAAGTTTGTGCAAACTGATCTCTTTGACAAATTGCAAAAAAACTGGTTAATGTAGTTGCTGGAGGTGTTTCAGCACGTTGCATAGCATTTGAAGCCGTAAAATATACTCGTTGACCATTCTCCAGATGCACCGCCAAATGCATAACAGTAGGATGACGTTCGTGAATGGGAAATGCGAATATACGCCAAATCGCTTCATTACAGTTCACATAACGACCAACTTGATAGCGTGAAATTTCATCGTTGTCATTCGAGGATTGCAATCCAAAAACAGCCATATCACTGCCTTTCGTGACATATTTGCAAATATATTTGATGGACTTAACTGAATTACAGTATTCAATGTTGCAATGCGTCTTGAACGTTTTAGAAATTAGCGGCGAATATGGAACAATCCAACTGTTGTCAACAACGAAATCCATTCTTTTCACTTTTGTTGTGACAGCTTGACCATTGTCATCTGGTGATCGACGACGATAAAGCGGATAACCATCATTGCCAGTGACAGTCTCCGCTGTTAATTGCCGTGGATATCGTTTAGAGCACTTTCCATCGACCATGCAAGGTGATTGGGGATTGACGGCACCACACGGTCCATGAATCATATTAGAAGTAACAACATCATGTAGGTCTGGATCGACTTCATAATCAGGAATCTCGGCACATATGATGTCATCTATTTGGTCAGGCTGAATTCTTTCCACTAACCAAATAAGAATGTGTGCGTGTGGCAAGCCTCGCTTTTGCCATTCGATTGAATACAAATATTAGCTGCATTTCCTTCAGTACTAACTGCATCACGTAAATGGATGTCCTCAGAACGCAGTTTGGCTTGGTTGAACCTAATGAATGTTAAACGTTCCGTTTCTATTTTTACATACATGTCAACGCAATATTGCTGAAACAATCGACGAAACCGCAGCAAATAGTTGTCAGCATTTTGACGAATCATCAAACGATATGCATAATAATTCATCGAGCTAACATTCTTTATAGTTTCTTCGCCTGAAATTTAAAAATTGAAAATTATTTATTTTACAGGCAAATTTTAAAGGCAAACAATACAGACATTAATCATTTTTTCAAAAAACTTTTTTTTAAATCAGTGTCTTTTACAAATAAATGAAATAAATTATGATACTCATTCTCACCATTCAATGGATTTTTCATTTTAATATTGAAATAATATCCATCTTCTCCTTGCCAAAACATCAGCGGGTATTGCAATGAGTCATATGATCGATGTGTTTCAGATATTTGTTGCAGTTGCCCAGTATCGCGACGTGAAAGCACAATATCGCGTTTTTCCAATTGTTCACCAACAATCAGGATGGCAACTTCGTCTACTATTGGAGCATTAAATGTCCTTTCGTGTGTTCCAGATGATCGTTTATCTGCTCTGATGACAACTTTATAGTCATCACTTGGCATGAGCTCTAAAGCACTCTTAAACAACCTGACCAACGTATGATGTTCATGAAGCAGACACTGTAAGTCGTGAAGAATTGCTCGCTTCATTCCTGCATTGATCTCTAGTCGTCGATCAAGTTGTTCTTCCATGTTGCCCATGAAATATATTTGTAAAAATTTATTCTGTGTATCTTCAAAAGGTAGTAATGATCCAATTCGATGATGAGTTTGTCCTTGTATCTACAAAATAAAAACCCGACAGTATTAACTGTGTTATAAAATCTTTATTCGGTGGGAGAAAAAGTTAAGAATTTGCTAATAGATGAAGTAAGTTATTCTTTAACTACATTCTATATAGGTACAAAAATAAGTACCTTAAATGTCGGATTAAATCCTCGTTCTTCGATAATATCTGCTCCAAATGACGTCATTTGAAAACAACCATTGTATTTTTGAGTATTAGCAAGAAAGTGGCGTGATTCTTGTGTTTCGCCACAAAGCAATGAATACAATGGTTCAGGTGGCGGAGTCAACGATGGCAATTTGACTTTACCATTAAGGCAGCATAATCCAGGCGTTTCTTGGGAAAACTTCAATGCACCACAATACTTGCAAACTACGTCCATTTTGCCAATGCAGACGCTAGGATGCAAGCTATAATCATAGCTGCAATTCTTCAAATTTCGATTCTCGATTCAAATTTCTTCTTCTGCATCGCAAGTTAACTATTTGTTGATCTATGTTGTTACCTCGAGCACGAAGTCGAGCCATTCTTTCGCGTTGCTGTTCACGTGCAATTCTTTCTTGTTCTTCAGTTCTTGCATTTACAGTATTTTGCAGTCTTCTTGCATTACTGCTTTGTCGGGAAAGATTCGATCGTCTTGGTCGCGGCATTATTAATGAAACTTCACTTCACCTTATTTATATATATATATATATATATATATATATATATATATATATAAAACCAAGAACTAATATTCATTCACTAACTAATATTCAACATGAGGTAATAGAGGTTAGAAACACCGAATGACATTTGACAATCGAATGCAAATGTCATGGATGAAATCATTGATAGTATCATAGATTGAATAAACTACATGGATAGTTTATAAATAATTAATTTTAAATTAGAATGAAATAAAGGGATAAAAAGTATCCTATGTCCTTCTCCTGACTCTAAGCTACCTCCATGCCAATTTTCATCTAAATCGGTTCAGCCGTTCGTGAGTTATAAGTGGTAGCACATAAGGCGATCCTCTTTTATATATATAGATATATATATATTAATTGTTTAATATGAACAAAACAGCACTCAGATTTGTTTAACACAACTTTATTTTATGATTACAGACGTTTCGAGACCATGGTCCCATGTAGAAATTAATATGGTCTGAATCTACAAGCAATATAAAATCTACATTGGTCAAATTTGAAACCAATATCGGCTGGTCATAAAAATTGAACATTTTTTATATTGAGGCCATATAGGTAAACCAACAATTGGTCTATATTGGTCTATATTTGGAAATTTGGAACCAATGTTGCCTACGAATTGTTGAATGTTGGTAAGGTAATATACAATTAGACAGAGAGCTGGTAAACATTTAGGATTATTAATTATTGAATTATTCTGAAACTTATAACTGATGTTGAAATATTACACAAATATTTGAAGATTTGAAGTTGAAATAATATAACGCATAAATCAATATCATTTATTTAACAATAAAACACCTGAAATGAACATTAACGTAAATTTATTAAAAATGTTTTTGTGGAAATTCATTTATTAAATATAAACAATGATACAAATATATAACTGCATTAAAAATATGATTATTCATAAAACACAAAAGTGTCATGAATATTGATTATTTTTTAATGGATATTTATTAATACATATCAAGTATTTTTTTTTTATAACAATAACAAAGGCAAATTAACTTTCCTATTTACAACATCGTCACTCGATAAAATATTGTACAGCACCTGAACATATTTTATTCGTTGTTAATATATTTATTATTCATTATGAAATATTTATTTCATCATCTAGAACAGTCATTGGGAAACCTACATTACATTTGATATATATCAAGTAAATTATTTATTTATTTATACGCCAATCGGCTTTATACAGTTTTATAATATTGTTTGCTAATTCATAACTTGTATATTTATATCTATATACATATACACACAGATATATACACATATATATACATACGTATACACATACATACACATCTACTTACATACAGATAGACATACATATATACTCAATTTAAATCGAATAACAGCAACAAAATTAAATTAATTTAACTATTTATAACATCGTCATTCGATAAAACACTGTACATCATCTGAACATATTGTATTCATTGTTAATATAAATATTATTCATTATGAAATATTTATGAAAGCATTGAAATGAGGTTATGAAATTTATCTTATCGTCTAGAACAGTGATTGGGAAATTTTTTCAATCATAACCCCAAATTATTTTTGACCAAGTTTGCATTGTCATTTAAAACTTGTATTCCTTGTTTATTATATCTATTATTCAATATGAAATATTTATGAAAGCATTGAAATGAGATTGTAAAATAGGATTGACTTAACTCTTTCCTTTAGAAATGATAACTTTTATCTTATCGTCTAGAACAGTGACTGGGAAACTTTTTTAACCATAACCCCAAAATATTTTTGTCCAAGTTTGTATTGTCATCTAAAACCTTGTATTCCTTGTGAATATATTTATTATATATCATTATATATTATCAATATAAATAATTTATGAAAGCGTTAAAATGAGATTGTAAAATGTAATTGACTCTACTTTTACCTTAAAAAATAATGACTTCATATCATAGTCTAGAATCTTGCTATGCAAATGTACAGATTTATTGACATTCTACATTGCATTTATTATTATCAAACATTATGATTATTCTGTCAAAATTTATATCTTTCCTTTCTACAACTTATTTAGTTACAAACTTTTGATGAAAACCTTTTCGATAAAATTTTACTACTAAGCAAACCAGTTTCTCTATTTTCTGCGCTTACAACAATATTACCTGAAAATAAATAAGAATGCGTTTTAA